GGCCCCCAGCATCTGCACCCAAACAGGGACCCCTTAGGTCACCCCCTGGACCTGCTGGGGTCGGACCCCAACACGAGAGAACCTGGCTGAAGATCCTAGAGACAGAACCTGGATAGAACATGGCAAGAGAATTGACTAGAACCTGGTGACTGAACCTGGCTGGAGAACCTGGACAGAACCTGGCTGGAGAACTTAGCGAGGGAACATGGCTACAGAACCTGGCTGGAGATCCTAACCAGAACTTCATTGGAGATCCAGACCAGAACTTGGCTGGAGATCCTGGCTAGAGGAACCTGGCTATGATGATCACCCGAAGGCTGCCTCCATGTCATTCCTTCTTCGCCGACTCCGTCCACACCTTTGGGGAATCCTGGACCTGCTGGGGTTGGACCCCAGCAGATTCATATGAGACATACTACACAGAACCATCCCTTTTCATTGTTCTCCAGAAAGGAGCAAGTGGAAGATCAGATATCATAGGTTGGCTCTCTAAGGCAGTATTTTCCTTGCAAATCCATGGGAGAGGAGCCACAAGATGGACGGTCCCATTCACTGTATATGTCCTGACAGATGCACAGCTGTAACCCACATAACAGGCAGACCACATGGCTATGGAACTCGTGGAATAAGGTCTGGAAACCTTGAAGGGAGACTTCAAAAAGAAGCTTGTCTGTGATTAATGCTTTGTCTCAGAATATTAGACATGAAAAATTTCAAATTTTAACAGAATTTCTTCATTCAAAAGTTTGATTACTTTCCCCCATGTTACCTATAAAAAGATAAAACCCACTCACACACACCCACACCCAAATACAGATAGAGACAAACATAAAGGATTGTGCATTGCTTCCATCTGCATACAAGTCTTGAAAGTTTGAGTCATAAGAATTATTCATTTCTCATTTAAAATTTTTTATTTTTATCAGTTATAACTTAAAGAGTGCAAAATTTTATAAGTGTTATTTTTCTTTTAAAAATATTTTTATTGATTTCAGAGAGAAAGGGAGTGGTATAGAGAGATAGAAACATCAATGATGAGAGAGAATCATTGATCAACTGCCTCCTGCACGCCCCCTACTGGGGATCGAGCCCACAGCCTGGGCATGTGCCCTGACCAGGAATCAAACTTTGATCTCCCAGGTCATATAGGTCAACCCTCAACCACTGAGCCACACAGGTGGGGCTATAAGAGTTTTTTCCTTAAAAACTTCTGATCATCATATTCCCTCTCCATTTCCTGCTTCTTAGAGGTAAATATTTCACCACATTTTTTTAACAGATGGTTTCACATCCCCCATCCTCTCCTCCCCCGCATATGGATACATGACTTTCTTATAATGTTACTCTTTGATTTCTAAAGCATTATCTATTGACTCATTTCTCTGGAGGTAAGGACATAAAACACTTTCATCCTCCTACCTCCACAGTTCTCCCCCCGCCCTCTGCTTCATGCCCTTCCTCTGATATTGTTCCTCCATAGCCATCCGGACAATCTGTGGCAATATCATAGTTAAGATATAAATGCTATTAGTGCCCAAGTCTTGAAGTTTTTTAAGTTATGGCTCATCATTAACCTGTAGAAGTCACACTGAGGTATGATAATAAGATTGAGTTTCCAACATTTGAAAAGTTTAAATTTGTGGTTTATAGCCACTAAATTCTAAGTCGGTATAGATGTCCAGAGGACAAGCTGGAGACCAAAGACACCCCTGAGGACACTGCCCTTTATTTAATGTCTCTTGTCATAGCCTCATATTCTGCTAGTTCAGATTTATATTTAGAATAACTACTGTTAAAATTACTCTTTTCATTTTTTTACTTTTCTGACTATAATACAAACAGACTTTTTAAAACTTTATAGTGTGCTTATTGACACAGTTGATGAGAACTAATTTAAGTGATATCTTCGTTGTTTTATAGCAAATTAGCTAGAACCTTAATACTTTTAATCTTTTATTTTCTCCTTGATTTTCAGCCCCAGGACACTTCCTTATTTACAATGCAGACAGACCAGAATATAATCTGCAACTTGGTAAGTTGATTTTGGTTTGTGTTTTGGGGAAGTTGATAGTTACTACCGAATGTTCTAAGGTTGATAAATCTAAGTTATCTGGAGCTTGAATATTCAGAATGTAATTTCTACAGCCCCTCTTTTCTAGAAAATAGGAAGGAAAGCTTCTGAAAAATCTCAGTGTGACTTTGAATGTGGCTGCTTCTATTTATAAAGGCACAGAGATTGCACAAATCCGGTCTCCAAATTATGGGCTTCAGTGGGACCCATCAATCCATCAAGGACATGGATGTTTCTGCATGAATATAACTTCAGCTACAGGATTGAGAATGAAATCACCTCAGGAATTCATGTTTCACAATAGATGGTTGCTTTTTCTTGAACCTGAAGCTACCTCATTTCTTATCTCCAGTCTTTTTGCGAATTGTAGAAGTAATGCATAGTAGAGACGTGATTCCTACTTTGACGAGAGATGAGATGAAAGAAAAGATTAGCTAGAGAGTGAGTAGGAAGCAGAGTTACTCTTATCTTTGAGGAAATCCTATATGATGGATGTTGCAGTTAGCATTTCTAGCTCAGTAATTAAGTTAAATGATGAAATTTGAGTTATATCACTTGTCAGTTTGTCATTGATACTAAAGAGGATTTTGAATCTTTGAGGATTAGTATACAAGGGCTATTTGTAGCTCACTGGCTTTCCATGGAAAAAGTGTATAATTATCCCAGCTCCCGGCTTTTACACTGGGAGCTTGGAATTGGATTTCAGTAGAATGAATTTTTGGTTTCAGATGATTATACTTCTAAGTAAGAAATTCTATTCTGAGAAGTTTGTCTTAACAGTTCATTTGATATGTTTTCAAAGGCAAATGTGTCTCTAATAGCTTGTCATGGATCGTCATACTTCTGCCTTTTGGGTAACCAAATGAAAGGTAGAGTCTGTGTGGCTTTCAAATAAAGATTAAAATGTTTAAAATACAAATTACATTGGTGTTAATAATGGCACCAGAAAGACTCATGTTTTATGTTTATTGGTGGTTCTCAGCCTGGGTGATGATACTGATACTGGAGGATGAGATTTTTCACTGTCAGTTGTGAATGGGTTAAGAAAAATGGGGAAATACTGGTATAAAGGAAAAACAATGCATCATAAACTTACACCTATTACTTTGATGCCCAGCTGGTGTAGCTCAGTGGTTGAGCTTCAATCTATGAAACAGGGGGTCACAGTTTGATTCCCAGTCAGGGCACATGCCTGTGGGCTTGATCCCCAGTAGGGGGCATGCAGGAGGCAGCCAATCAATGATTCTCTCTCATCATTGATGTTTCTATCTCTCCCTCTCCCTTCCTCTCTGAAATCAATAAAAATATTTTTAATTAAAAAAAAGTCCAGTCGTAGAACCCAGTGTTTTTAAAGTTTCCCTGAGCATCTTCCTACTGCCGACAGCTGGTTCGAGGAACTTCTTGCCTGCCCTTCCCTTCTCTTGATATGTAGTCTCTGAAGCAGGTATCTTGCACCTTCTTTCCATTGGGGAACCCAGCTTGTCATGTTGAGCATTGCATGTGCTGCAGGCATTGGCTCTCCCTGTGGGGAACTGGGAAAGCACAGTGACCTGCATCTCCTGGTGAGATGTGATTATACAGGATGTTCCCAGGAGCAGGGCAGTTTCCCAGCATTTGATCACTGGCTGTTCTGAGCGAGGTGGAGGTTGAAGTTGGTAGTCAGTGGCACACCTTCCCAGACTGCATTGCACAGCCCCACAGCACATTGTTTGAGTGCTGGTTTAAACCCTTGGAATCTGCCCACCTTGCCCGGGGCTCAGAATTACCTCCTTGGTCCTTTGCAGTTCTCACAACATTAGTTCTCCCAAGATTGGAGAAGTAAGACTAGAAGGCAAATGACATATGGGAATGTGACTACACTCTTAGCCCCATCTTTGATCCATCCCTCTTCCTCTGCGTTGACTCACCTTCCGTCTTCTCACAGAGGAGGTTGGAAAGTCTGGGCCAAGTGTGTACACGACTAGTTTTGTTCTAAAGGAATATTTTCATTTCTGGGACTCTGAATTAAACCATTGCGGCATCCTGCTGCCTTACTAAATGTGAAGAGTATCCTCTCCGCTAATGTATGATGATGGCTAATTGAGCAAATGATAGGAAATCATTACCAGTGCTCCTATCTGGGGAGGGCAAGGATTCCGCCCTTTTGCAATCTCTGTCAAGGGATGTAGCCTATAGGAGAAAGGGGTTGAACGGGGGCACAATTCTGATGCCTGTTTTAGATCTTTTTCTGAGTTATCATTCCCAATTTGCCTGGGTTTTCCTTTCTATCTTGACAGAATATTTACAATTTTACATTACCTTAGAAGGAATAGAAGGGCAACTTGTGTTTCCAAAGTTGAGTAGCTGATTTTATGTATAGTCATGGTGTATCCTGTTCCATCCTTACTCATCATTCAATGAGTTGTATTCACTTACCCCCCCCCCGCCCTCGAATTTTAGGTGTTAGGTTGCAATGCTATGTTGTAATACTGGTGTGATATTATAGGGGAAATGTTGTGACTTGTGGGGACATATTTGGTTCGACGTCCTCTTCATGCTATGCCTCTGTTGCGTTGTTTGATTTCAGCAAGCAAATGCAATTCGACTCATTTATAAACTCACCCTACTTATCTTGCCTCACATAAAGCTACTTCAGGCTTCCAAGAAACCCAGGCTCTTATGCAAATCGTTTATTCATTTTAAGCTATCGTAACTTTTATTTTTAAGGCACAATGGTGTGTATTTAACTCATCCTTTGAAACTTCTCTTGGCTCCGCATCGGGCTTCAGACTTCTTCATCTCATAGAATCAGTTCCCAGAGGGACAGCCCACCTGCAGGTAGAACGCTTCCTGGTTTGTCAGGTCGCCCTGCCTGTCCTTTGTGTGTAGGTCATTTGATAGCATGCTCTCAAAGAAAATCATCTTGACTTACAGTATCTGCTGCTATGAAAACTTGTTCCATTATGAAGGTCATTCTTTTGAGAGAAATCTTTTCCCATAAAGAACTTCTGAGAGTATATTAGTTGAATTTTATTTTATTCTCTCTTAAAAATTGTATTAGAATACCTCTTAAAGGTTATAAAAGCACATAAAATATCAAATTTCTGCACACTTATCTACCAATGTGTCCTTCCTTTTATTCTGCCCTTTAAAGAGAAAGGCTCTGTGATATGGCGTGCATCGCAGTGGAGGATTTGGTGGGGGCCACAAGACAAATACTTTGTTTATCTAACACTAAGCTATTCATTATTCATTTCCTCTAATCTCAGCATAACTTCCCCATCACTTCCCCTTGGAACTTGTCATGATGAGCTTAGGTGGGGGCAGAGAGCTAAAGGTGGCTTTTGGTTGCTTATGGCGAGTATCTGACAGTTACTGATTTCTCCACTCAGAGTATTTTCAGATGCCTTCTTGGTCCTCTAAAAAACACTTGAAAACTCTTACAGTTTAAATGTTCTGATGGAAAAAATCTTAATGTGCCCTCAAATGGTCACCCATGCGATCCAAAAAAGGTCCTGCTAAATAAATATGCTTATTTATATTAATCAGAATTGAGAAAGAGAACATTTTCAGTAGCCATAGTCACATGCACTGGCTGTGGTGTTTTTAACGGCCCATTATTATTTAATATTGCTCATTTTAAAACCAAAACAGTCTAGAGTTAAGAGACTGTAGGAGCTGGAATCGGGATGACGTCTATGCAACAGGGATGAAAACCTCCCATTTTCCACACAATTAGAAAGGTCTCATTGACACCACGGAGATTACTATCCTGTGCAAGTTAATGCATTTTGATCTCCATGTTGGGATGACCCTCTATTTTCTGGTGTAATGCAAAGCAGTAGAGCTGGGAGTTTCCAGAGCTGTGTGTGCCCTGTGAGCTCTTCCTCACTTCTTCCAGCTGGCAACGGTGACTCAAGGTGCCATTTTAGCATCCCTTACAGATGCCATAGGAAGGGAGTAGCCTAAATATTGTAAGTAAAGTGAATAGCCAAAATGGTAAGTCTTGTCCTAACTTCAAGGGAAATGACAGTCCTCGATGATGGCAAAAAAAAAAACAAAAAAAAAAAAAGAAGAAGAAGAAGAAGTTGGTAGTGTTCATTCCTAGACTTTCCCGTTCGGTAAAGGCCCATGATGCCAAGTGTAGGGCTTTTTCCCAGCACAGATTTGGTGAAGCTAGTTGCCTGTGGGATGATGAAGAAATCTTAATGGTCCAATATTCTGTACTGCTGTCTATTCATATGTTCATCTTTTTCCTCTAACTCTCAAAACAAACAATGAAAGGCTGAGTCTGAACAGGCTCCACCAGCAGAGCCGAAAGCAGAGGAGCCCCTTGCCGCTGCACCTGCTGAGGACACCCAGGCTGAGGAGCCAGAGGGGGCAGTGGTGAGCACCACCTCCCTCCACCCACCGCCAGCCACCCCTGCCACAGCCATGCTCATCTCATGATCCCATTTCTCCCTTCTCATCCATGCTTCACTTGAGCTAAATCACCTCCATACCTGACAGGTTCAAATAACCTTTGTTCCTTTGACAGTGAAACTCTATTCTCTTTTATTTTTGAAAAGAAAGCTATCCAGAGAGCTGATCTTATCTACCTTCTTTAAAAAGGAAGGGTGCCCTGATTCTTTCTGATACTCTCCCATTCGTGGTAGGTAGGTTGTAGAAATTGCAAATAATCAAAACTACTAATATTAATGTGGTGCTCTACCTGCAACTGCTAGAGATGTGCCTTCAGTTAGAGACCAACCTGCAGGTGATAAACAGAACGATAATAATTTCGTTGGTTGCGTCTACATATTGATTTCATACAATATTAGCTGTGTAGGTTGGTTAAGGCCAATGAAACCACACCTCATTGCAAACTGGGATGAGCTCTATATGCACCATGTGGAATTGGATTGTGTAACACCTGTGAAAGCATAAACTAATACCAAGGAAAATGTAATTCAAAATACCGATGGGGAGTGAAACACTTACTTATGAAATGCAGTTAAAATGTCTCCCAAGACTTTTAATCGGGGTGCCGTTTACTACAGCCTTTATAGAATCTGTTCAAAGAAGGCAGCCAATCTCCCTGTTTCCCAACATTACATAGCCTGGATGAAATAGCTAGAGAAATGAAAGTGTTTCTTGCTGTTGGTATGTTAGGTCATTTTGCTGGGAAAAAGAGTAGGTCATCTGTTAAATCTATAGTTTATTAATTAGTAGAAAAATAAATAATAGGGCAAGATAGTGATGAAAAATACAAATGAAGAATGACTCAAGAAACATAATTTTATTTTCCAATGAAAGACATAGACTGGACCAAGTCCTGGATGAGAAACAAGAAATGCGTCCTGCAGACTGAGTTCCTCCCGGCAGTGCCTCTGGCCGGACTTAGACTGAGGAGTGCTGAATCCCTGCTTCTGAACTGTCACTCCCAGAATCAAGCGAGATCTCAGTAACCCAATGCCAATGGGGCATTGTCACCTGGTGTCAGAATAGGATCTGTCCACCCACCTTAGCCTTAACAGAGGAAGGGAAAGACACAGTTGGATTTTTGACTACGGTTTAATTAAGAAGATAATTGATTTTAAAATTGTATGGAGCCTGGTTGGTGTGGTTCAGTGGTTGAGCATCAACCTATGAACCAGGAGGTCAAGGTTCGATTCCCAGTCAGGGCACATGCTCAGATTGCGGGCTCGATCCCCAGTAAGGGGTGTGAAGGAGGCAGCTGACCAATGGTTCTCTCTCATCATTGATGTTTCTATCTCTCTCCCTTTTCCTCTCTGAAATATATATAAAAGCATATGGATGATGCCAGGGAGTTAAGGAAATGTTGGTTAGGTTCAGATATTGATTCAATTCTGAAAAGTTCTCATCAAATTTTTATTTTGAATAGCAGCCCAGACTTCATCTTCACCTGTGCTTTTAAACCACATTGATTCCATGACCTAGACCAGGGGTCCTCAAACTACGGCCCGTGGGCCACATGCAAATACAAATATTGTATTTGTTCCTGTTTTGTTTTTTTACTTCAAAATAAGATATGTGCAGTGTGCATAGGAATTTGTTCATAGTTTTTTTTTAAACTATAGTCCGGCCCTCCAATGGTCTGAGGGACAGTGAACTGGCCCCCTGTTTAAAAAGTTTGAGGACCCCTGACCTAGACTATTCGATATAAGGCTTACTGTTCATAATGCCCATGATTTTGAACAAGGGTATTTGATGTTGTGCTATAGATTGGAGATGTGAAATAGACAAGTTCATGTGTTAAGTACAAGCTTGACAGTTGATTCTCCATGATCCCCTTTCACACCCATTCTAAGTTTTTGTTTTTTTCACAATCCAAGTTCATTGTTTTTCCAAAATATAATATTAGTAGCTACCAATTACCAAGTACCTACTATATCATATCGACTATTATATAAAGATTATAAACTTTTTAACCACAGGTAATATTTAAAATATTTAATAAACTTCATGGTACAAGCACCAGCTTCCTTAATGTTGGGTACATAGATATTTGGAAGAATTCTTCATTCTCAAAAGTCTTATCCCCTACAGATAGGTGAACTTCAGAAAAAAATAAAAATTTTAGATTCCTTGTGAAGTACAAGGCAAATTGGAAAGTCGTATGAAGGATTCAGGCACCTGCTGAGACCCAGAGATGATGTAAGACAGCACATACAGAGCTCACTATGTGAGCCACCCTCTCCAACGAGAAAATGTTTATTTTTTCATCCTCGTATCGACTGAAAAATAATAATAAAGGGGGCAGCTTACGGCAGTTCCATTTTCCTAAGCTCATTAAAAGTGGCTCTCTTCCCTGTTTTTAAAATTGGCACCCTTCGATGAAGTCAATCCTTCCTCATGCGCTCTCTTCTACTTAAGAAAGTAAGATCATATAGAATGTATTTTTGTTCTCTAATGTAGACTTACAGCTTCTTCTGGTCACAGTAACTGAAGGTACATTAAAAACTAGGTTTTCTAAGGAAGGTCTCTTGCCTTGCTAGATGTGTGATGTTTGGTTGTAAAACCATAAAAATCTCCACTGTGTCCCACGCATCAATTAAGAGGCTGGCTGTAGCTGTCATTAGTCAGGATTGTATTGGCATGGCCTTTTGAGGCCGTCCTTTCTGCCGCTGAAATGTCACCACACAGTTATTACTTTGAGTTCTGACAGAATTCATTTTGTGGAAGGTGAAGTTTGTGGTGTGTGTGTTTTTTCTGAAAGAGGCCAATGTAATTTCAAACACAGGAGATGTTAGCAGTGGTGCACAAAGAAACCAGGGGCTTTCAAGAAAAGTTTAGTTATTACATTTGTGTTTGTTGTTTTATTCCCCCATCAGCTGACATTGCATTTAGTTGGTCCTACACAAACATGTTTCCAGTGTATCTGCAAGATGCATTTTAAAAGCCAACACTTGCTGCTCCTGCAGATGGTTCCACATTCTATAAGTGATGGCCCCCTCCCCCGTTGAGGTTGTTCTTAATAGCTGTTTCCACAACCAGTACTTGCTTAGTCCCCTGAGTTTGCAGTACACAACATTTACCTTTGCTTCAAAAGGCAAATCTGCTCGTCCCACACACTTTGCAAATAAATCTCCAACTAAAAGGTTAATGTTTTAATATGCATTGCTATTAGATGTTCTTCCATGACCTTAAAGGCCAGAATAACCAAAAATTCATTAACCGTGGCATTTCTGCGGCAGACTTTAATTTTTAAAGAAAGTCTGGAGCTAATGCTGACAGATGTTGCCATGACAACACTGCCGCCAGCAGCCAAGTTGTGCTGGGATCTGGCTGCTGAGGGTTTATGATGGGACCGCAGGCCATACCAGGAAAGTAGATTGAAAAAGATGATTGAGATGAAGGTCAGGGGGAAAAAATATCCACAAAGTTTCTTATTGGAAAGGAAGCGCATAGATGTATCAAATGAAGTGTGTAATACGAGCTGCCATCTTTGAAAGGAACAACAGTGGAGGCCGGTGCTCCCTGGGAGAACTCACCCTGCGGTCATGCTGAAGGAAAATGATGGCCTTCGGTGCTTTAAAAATATAGTTCATGTGAAGAGGAGTGCTAGCCGTCAGCCTGGTTTTAATACAGGAATCTTCTCTTGGGGCCGTAATGACCCTCATTGTATCTTGGGCTTTTCTTTAAAATGAATCCTGAAGAAAAAATTGTAATTTTATACAATTACTAGGATGTTCAGACAAGTCAAGAGCGCAAGTTGGATCCAGAATACGAGATGAGCAGAAAAAGCCAGGGTGGCCTGAAGCCACAATTCCCACTGTGACATGATCTTTCTTTGTGACATCCCAGTGGGACTCTGGGGGTCGCTCCAGCTCCAATGTTAATTGGTGGAAGAATCAGAACTAAAACTCGGGTCTCCAGCCCCACCTCCAGTGCTACTGCCACTCTATCACATTTCCCCACTGTAAAATGCAAGCATTGGACCCTTGCTGGTTTGGCTCAGTGGATAGTGCATCAGCCCACAGACTGAAGGGCTCCAGATTTCATTCTGGCCAACGGCACATACCTTGGTCACAGGTTCAATGTGCCTCTCTCACATTGATGTTTCTCTCTCTCTCCCCCTCCATTCCATTCTCTCTAAAAATCAATGGAAAAATATCTTCAGGTGAGGATTACCAAAAGTAATAATCCTATCTAATAAAAGACAAAAAGGGTAATTAACCGTACCTCTGCTAAGCTTCCCATTGGCTAATCAGGGCGATATGCAAATTAACTGCCAACAAAGATGGTGGCCGGCAGCCACGCAGCTGACGAAAGCAGGAGGCTTGCTTGCTCCAGTGATGGAGGAAGCCAAGGTTCCCTGCCTTTCGCAGCCAGGCTCTGAGCCTGAAAGCAACAGCTCCGAAAGCAACAAAGTTTCAATTATAGAAGCCAAACAAGCCCCAGATACCTGCTTTCAGCTAGCCGCGGCCTTAGAGCTGGAGCAAGCAGGACGGCAAAAAAGTTTAATTATAGAAGGTAAATTAATCCCAGAATAAAAAAAAAAAGGAAAGGAAAAAAAAAGAGAGGCTGGGAGCTTCAGTCACTGGCCAGCCTGAAAACGACCCTCAGCCCCCCACCCCGACTGACCAGGCACCCCAGGGGGGACCCCCACCCTAAAAGGGGGGGGTCACTATGACACACACTGACCACCAGGGGGCAGACGCTCAATACAGGAGCTGCCCTCTGGTGGTCAGTGCGCTCCCACACTGGGGAGCTCTGCTCAGCCACAAGCCAGGCTGATGGCTGCCAGTACAGCGGTGGTGGTGGAAGCCTCTCCTGCCTCCTCAGCAGTGCTAAGGATGTCCAACTGCAGCTTAGGTCTGCTCCCCGCTGGCAAGTGGACATCCCCTGAGGGCTGCCAGGCTGCCAGAGGAATGTCTGATTGC